TATGTGTGTGTGTGTGTGTTTATATACATGCATATATGTATATATAGGCCTATATATATATATAGGCTTATATATACATATATATATATATGTATGTATGTATATCACTTTCTTTGTATATGAATGACAGATAGAGATAAAGTCATAATTGTTTAAACGTTAAAGAAGAGGAATCTGCGAAGTGTGAAAAACAGGTGCCTAACCGGGATTCCGAACTCGGGACCTTCTGCTATCGATGAAGACGCCTTAATCAACTTGGCCATTGAGGCTTTGTTGGGAATTCAGAATCCAATTAAAGCATCTAATTCTTCACACACACTAATGCGTATTAGACAGCACTAGTCCTAGATGCATGGCTAACAACAGAAATCAATATGATACGCCCTAGTTGCTGGTTTACCATTTCAAATCTGAAAACAGCTTCACAAAATGTGCCTCAATAACACCTTTATTCTATGTAAATAAATTCAGAGTATTTGCTTTTAAAATATACAAATCAAACTTATCAAAAAAAAAAAGAAACCTTTTGAGTCCTATTTTGTCAAAATAGGACTCTTTGTATAGTACGGTATATATTTTGTTAAATATATCAAATTGACCTGACAGTACAAAACGAAAACTCGGGCATGAACGAGTTGATGGCAGTTTTCCTTGACGAGTGTGTGTTATAGTCCGAAAGATGGGATGATCGTTTTAGGGGCATGCAGTGTGGTTCCAGAAATTCGCCGACAAGAATCCGACACTGCTCGAAAAGGGGGCAAGGCCGACTAGAACCTCGGTCAGGTTTCCAGGGCGGATTTAGGAGGGGACCGGGCCGGCCCTGGCTCCCATTCCCCCTTCCCCCACTTTTTGGAAGGTAAAACACAGAGAAAAAAAAAAGAAAGAAAGAAAGAAAGAAAAAGAAAAAAATGATCGCCCAAAACGACTCAGAGGTTACTTTCAGGCGTCTAAAACACAAAAATTTCGCGGACTCCCTAGGTATTATTATCTCGATCCCCTAGGTAGGACATCTCTGAAGCCGCCCCTGGGCTCTAGGGATAAAACTTAAGGTTTAGTATGTTCGAAATTGTACTATTAGACCAAAATATTAGGGACTGGCAATCAAAACAACGTTATGTGGAGAGGCAAAATTATTATTTTAAAGATAACCCCAAGGAGATTCCTTCTGCCCCCCCCCCCCCCCCCCCCCGCCCCCACCTTAATATATCTGGCTGCAAAGTACTGTATTTTAGGCCATTAATGTTGGTCGTGTTATGATGTAGGCATAGTAGTATCAGAAAAAAAAAAAAAAAAAAAAAAAAACAAGAAGGCCTAAATTGTTTTCTTTTACGACGAGTCGTGGCCGAAGTTCTCTGCCTCCACTCATTGGTGCCACCATAGTGCAAATTATAGTAAACTAAAATTCTCTCTAAAATTAAAATAAAAAGTACGTTGCATTAATTTCTTATCGCTGGTATAAACTGCTTTTTTAAAAGTTAAAACTTGGGCTTTATATCAAGCCAGTAGACACCCTTACCTGCCTTGTTGAGTTAACACGGTATCGCATGTTAACAAAATTCATTTGATTATGTTTTTTTTTTATTATTATTGATTTTGTAAACAATTTTGATATGATACTGTACTACTGCAGTACTTTTTTTGTTTTTTGCTAGGGAAATGTTTAACTAGAAAACAGCTGTGATCTAGAATTTTAATATTACCCACCAGCATACAAAAACGTTCTTATGGCGTTTGTAGAAGTTGTGGTAGGTTTGTCACACAATAATGTTGGCATTTAAGCGTTATTTAGTTGTGAAATCACGGACTAAATACGTAGGTCTATTTTTCTACAACGTTTTCTACACCAACTTTAACGTTCTTATAACATAAAAGTATTAGGCCTAGATGGGAGAGGATTTCTAGACCAGGCCAAATTATATCATAAATTTAAATATAACTGTAGACTGATGAGTTTTGTAGGCCTATATCAAGAAGAGTGTATAAAATTGGAATGAAACACAGGCGTAATTCTCAACGAACGTCTTTATACCAGAGAGTACTACTTACAACAAACAACTGTTAGATACAAGTTGCAAAGAACCTTTATCTTCAATATGTCTATGTGTTTTTAATGCAAAACAGCTACTTCCTTCAGTGTTATCCGTCGAAGTCATTATTTTGTTTCTTGTGTTAGACCACCTGTAAAGGCCTTTACATTACTTAGACCTGTATAATTTATGTATCGACTTTTGTCGCAAATCAACAATGTAGTTGCGCACCATGGACACGCGTACATTATGCGCGCGTTACGCTACGCAACGGCGCAGGCGGTCTGCCGTCACTCTGTAACCATAGTGTATTCTACTATCTGAGCTGATCGGTTTTATTGTTACACGCTACCACGATACACACAACGCCTAGACGAGGTTATTTATAAAACATGTCGATTATAATGTTTATTGAAAATGCTGCTAAACATAATAATAATATTCATAATATAGTGGTTTCTCCCGACATTCCATACCGATTTCCCGCACCCCTCTCCTAAGCCAAATCACCATACAACGTTATCATTCTAGAAACCAGATCGACGAGCACAACGTCTTCTTCTTCAACTCGAACGCACTGCATTTATGCCTAAAATCGTGCATTGAAACTCCGCCGAATGTACTGTTAACCGCTCCGCTGCCTTCCTAACACATTCGTACATATATAAACATACATATTCGACGTAGTATATGACGGAATGTTGACACTTTTCACTGTTGATACTAATTGTCAATAAAGTAACCCAAACCACACGTAATCACTCCATTGTTTGCCCTTCCAACTCCCACCAAAATTACAGTGCAAAACAAGTCGGTTTCAAAACAGTTCACAAGTTCGGCTTTAGAGGGCCTGCTGCCTAAATATCCACTGATACGACTTCAAATTGAATTGAATACGAAAACGTACAGCGCCTGTGTGTGCCCGCAATTCAATGCAACACAGGTCTAAAACCAAAAGACCTTTCGAGATTGTAGCCATTTTGTATTTGGTCATGATCTAGGACGAAATAGGCTTTGCCCCACCCAACTATTTCGGCCATTGGAACGCCATTGTTTTCTATCTGTCTAACATATTACGAACGAAATTGAGATGGTAACCAAAATGAGTAAAATTGGAGAAGAAATTCACCCAATGTGTGTAGAAATTGATGGTATTTTCCAAGCGGTTCCTGCAAGATTCACAGAAAATATTGCAACACTGCAAAATACGAGCTACAATGGCGAAGCCAAGAATGCAGCTTTTTTATCAGATATACGGTAAATGAGGTAGGAGGAACATAGTGGCATGTGTTTTCCTTCCATTTTACTGAACTTAATTGAGTCAATATATGAATTAAACATTCTTTTTAGGCTGTTTAAAGTTTCTTTTTTATATGGTAGGCATGTCGCGAAGAAGTCACGTGACACGCAACGACCTCAGTAATAATAGACGCGTTTGTTTAGCAGTTTGCCCTTTACTACGCATGTACAAAGTTTGCGGGATCATCTTCCATTACCTAGCTAAACCCATTTATTACCGGGGTTTTTCGTTTCATTTTCTATGTCAAAAATGTAGGCGGCTAAAGTATACATATATAAAAATGATATTGAACTGTAAAGGTATTTGCGTGAATAATATCACATGCTATAATGTTAGCACAGTATAGAAATGAAGGCGCTCATTATTTTAATTGGAATAAGAAAAACAGTGGCAGTACTGTATTCATTTATGTAATAATATGTAGAGAAATTGATTAACTTAAGATTGAAATAAAATTATAATTTTTATAAAAAAAACAATTAAATTGGTCAGTGTACAAAAAAGTTCGCTGAAATTCAGGTCGCTGAGGCTTATTATATGTTACAATATATAGCATTGTTTGAAGTAGACAATTACATATTTTAAGATTAAGATACAGTTACTATTTTATAAATGCTAAAATTATGATTATTAATATATACAAGGTACAGTATTTTATTGGTCAATGTGTAAAATGGTTCATTCATACAAAAATACACAACAAAATGTAACATTGGTGAAAGTAGAAAATTTCAGTAATTAATACAGTAGTTAATTTTCTATTTAATTAAATGAACTAAACAAATTTAATTCCATATTTCAATTGTCCTAGAAATTTATAAAATTGCAAATTTAAAAATTGTAATTGCAAAAAAAAAAAAAATTTGTTAATGGACAGGTATACCAGATTTTTGTATCCTTTTGCATAGGCTATTAAATTTGTTTGTATAGAAGACAATAGTACAGTACTGTAGTTAGAAGAAACTATTGTAATGGAGAAAGCCCAAGTTATTTGACAATAAAAGCAAACTTAAAAACAAGGTGCAATAATTGGTGGACTGTTAACTTCTCTTATTTTGAATCGTCCGTTTTCCATTAACTTCTCTTATTTTGAATCGTCCGTTTTCCATAACTATTGTTTTTAAGGTGAGACTGTTTTAATACCTTGTTTACCAAACTTATTTTTTAAAAGTTTTCAGGAGGGTGGTAAAATCAGTTAAAAATAAAATTCTGTTTTCATATTTAAAAAAATGATTTTGCCAAAGCATCTAGGTGGAGGAGAAAATAAAAATATAATGTTATTGATGAATGTATACAGTGTTAATGAGATTGATAAATGCTTTAAATTTATATAATTAAAGAAAGAAATATATATTATTAATGGAGATTTCAGGGGAGCATAGTGCATGATAAAAATAAATAACTTTTTTATCTTTTCTGAAATTTCCATTTTTCATGGCTGACTTCCAAAAATAAAATTTCATTTTTTATTCGAAATTACCATTACTTACACTCAGTGGGTACTGTACTCTAAAAAAGGTATTAAAACAGTCTTACCTAAGGATATTAAACTAAGAATAAGTTATTGGAACACTGAGTAGATTTTTTTTGGTGGGGGGGGGGGGGGGGTGGGGGGGAGGGGTAG